AAATAATGAGCAGAGACTAATCATCTCCACTGAACAACACTCCAGGTGCAAAATGATGAGCAAATAAATCCAATTGTTGTTATTTTAAGCCACTATATTTTAGCTGTTACAGCAGCAATAAGTAACTGCAATGAAAGAGATTTTAAACCTCTTATGCCATGTGTTCCCTTCAGGGCAATTAATAAAAGAAAAATATTTGATTTATTCTCAGACTATTATGTAAGTTAACACTGTGTTTGACTTAGAAATCACTGAGATTTAATTATGTAAGTGATGACTTCCTTATACAAAATAAAAAGATTAAGGCCTTGTATTTAGACTAAGAACTATAACAGTTAGATGACAAGTTTGGAAAATTAGTTAAAAAGCAAGGCACAGATATGAAATAAAATTTTACAACCAGGGCCCAATGCGATGGCTCGATGACTGAATCCTTACCTTATAAGCACTGGCATCCTATATGGGTACTAGTTTGCATTCCTGCTGTTCTGCTTCCCATCCAACTCCCTGCTTATGGCCTAAGAAATTAGTAGAGAATGGCCCAAAACCTTGAGACCCTTCACCCATGTGGGAGACTCAGAAGAAGCTCCTAGATCCTAGCTCCTGGCTTCGGATCGGCTTAGCTCCACCTGTTGAGGCCACTTGGGGAGATGGAAGGCCACAGCCGATGGAAGGTCTTTCTGTCTCTCCTCTCTGTAAACTCTGATCTGCCTTTCCAGTTAAAAATAAATGAAAATATTTTTAAAGAAAGCTTATGTACCAAATAATTGTATCCAGTGATATGCCATGCTCCTCTTCCATCAAATACTATTTTTACTGAAGACTCCCAGATCCTCACCAAGGGCTATCAATATGGACACCAAGGACTACATCCCAACTGCCAAGGAGACCATGGGGAATAGGAATGCCTTCGGAGGCCGAGAACTCTGAGGTCATCCACCCCCATATAGAGCTTCCACAGGGGATGGAAGAAGTCCAATCTCTCCTGTGCAGAAACCAGTGTCATTGGAATGACAACCAGGAGCCTTGAGTGGTCTGCAGAAACAGAATAATAAACCTCCTTTGGGACTAGGGAGGCGAGCTTTCTCTGGTCCTCGCCTAGCTCCGGCTCTGGGTCCCCACCCTCTCTTGCGATGACCATTGGGATCACTCCAGAAACCCCTCAAAACCAACAAACATACAAACAAACAAAAAAACCTAGAATGGACAGACAACAAGGAAAGCTTAGAATCAGACAGGAAATGGTCAGCGTGGATTCACTTATACCTTACTAGGTGGGACACAAAGATTAGTTATGCCTCACTGGGGTATTGGGGATTTCTCTGCACACCCCTCCAAAAAAAAAAAAATGTTCTGTACCTAAACTGGGGACACATGTCTTGCTAGGGTTATAAGCCAGTTCAGACCATCCGAAAAACAACCAAGTTCAGCAAAATGATGCTTCAACACTATAAACAGCTAAATACTAAAATGAAAATAGACACGAGACAGCTGAATAGTAATCTATAGCCATTTTGAGGTGTATAGAACCCGGTTGAATATAAACCAAAACAAATGTCTATGAAGAAGTCACAGGATGCAGTTGAGAACCTGCATTTTCCTATTAACATATTGTTAATCAATACCATGTCAATTAATGCCATAATGTTGTAAATTGTTGTTGATGTTATGTTGGGGCTTTTAATTGATTGGGACGATACTTTGCTGGCTTTACCTTCAGACCAGAGATGGTTACACCAAGAAATCGTTGAACTCACTAGGATAATAAGATGCTGGACTTTATGCTTGGTAAATACTTCCAATGAAGAACCTCAACTGAATTTGAACTGTGGTAATGCAACAAGGTGGAGAAATCCACCATGGGGAGAGGATTCGGGGAGGGGTGAGCGGAATCCCAGTGCCTATAACACTGTGTCACATAATTCAATACAATTAATAAAAAAAAAAATCCACAAAGAAAGGCCTATATTGAGTTGAAAAGAGAAACCTTTTGGTATTAGCCGCTACTCTTTCAATGCAACATAAAAAACCCTGCATGGCTGTTCTTTTTTTTTTTTTTTTAAGATGTATTTATTTTTATTGCAAAGTCAGATATTTAGAGAGAGGAGGAAAGACAGAGGAAGATCTTCCATCTGATGATTCATTCCCCAAGTGACCACAAGGGCCAGAGCTGCACCGATCCAAAGCCAGGAGCTTCTGGGTCTCCCATGCAGGCCCCAAGGCTTTGGGCCATCCTCGACTGTTTTCCCAAGCCACAAGCAGGGAGCTGGATGGGAATTGGGGATGCTGGGATTAAAACTGGTGTCCATATGGGATCCTAGTAGCAAAGACTTTAGCCCCTAGGCCACCACGCGGGGCCCATCATAGCCATTCTGAAGTAACACAATGACACTTTTAAATTAAAATCATTCTTTTTACATTTAGCCTTGTTTCATAGGAAATTGAGATCTTTCTAACCATGGAAATGAATTGAAATGAGGTATGCAGGTTAATGTTATAGAGATGACTTGAAAGTATCAGTGTCACCATATCTTCAGACAAGATTTATCTAGCTCAGCATACTGTGGTTGCAAACTAATTGGAAAATCCAGGCCTCCTCCTTGATGGTCATCATAGAGATTAGGTGAATAGACACTAACAGAATTGAGCAAATGTAGCATATAACCCCAATTTCTTCTTATTGTCCAGACATTTACTGACAACAGAGATTGTTTCAGTTCTGTTTGGGCCAGTTTTCCTTCCCCTGACATAGGAATTTACCTTTGGAAAACATTGTTGAAATGATTTTGGCTTACAAGTCTATTCCACTACATGATGACACCCAAGTAGGGCAAGGGCCCTGTCAGTGTCGTATCTGAATCCCTCAGTCATGGTCTCAGCCTCACTGCAGCTCCTCCGTTCCACTGTGGTCACCTTGCTCTTGTCCTAATCATTATTCTGAGCATTGACTATTGGTTTCCCCAACCCCAGAAAATTGTGACACATGTGTGCAAGTTTGTAATGTGGGATTAGATGAAAATATTATTTGAGGAAGTAGATCACCTAAACAGACACTCCATAAACTTGTGGTGCTTGGAAAAAGTCAATATTTATGGATGCATGCTAAGTTCATACAGACAGACAGGAAAGTGAGCATGCTCACAATTTTTTTCTGGCAAACGATGACATAGCAAAGCAGTTTTGGAGTATTTCAAAGCCATAGTAAACATTAATCTGATTTTATTTTTATTTTGTCTTCAGTTGTTCGTATCTCTGAAAATGCACCAGAGAGCACCAAGTTTATGTTCAAAAACACCATGTATGATTTTCCTGGTTAAACTGATAATAGCTATTTTTCTTTAAAGAGGAGAGTTTTTCTAAAAGTGGGATTCAGCACCATCCATTAGGAAAACATCCCTGGCTGTCCGTGGGGCAGCATGAGCAACCTCTCTGGAATGTTTCACAGCAATTCTTCCAGGAGCAAGAAATGAGCACCAGCTGTTTCTGTATGAGGACCAACACCTGAAGACTTCTTGGGATTCAGCTTTTTGAATCTAGAAGGAGACTCCCTAGGAATGATATTCTTTTAACTCAGAATCTAGAATTCTGGATTAATCTGCTCAGCACAGAAAGGATCCTCCTTCCAAACTCTGCAAAGATCTGAGTGATTAAGGCTCTGAGTGAGGTCTTGTCAAAAACCAGAAGGCTAACTCTGGCTGTTTTGTGCTTAGAACTGAACTTCAGCCTCGAGGGAATGTTTGGCAGTTGCAATCCTTCCGTTTAAATTGTTGTGAATTGGATTAACTCACCACCACCTCCACCACCAGGAAAATAGGTTATGCTGCTATTTTGTAATTGTACTCTCCTGTCTACTATTTATTGCTAACAAAGCCTGAACCCAATGACATTCCAGCAGTTTAACTGCAAAGTACAAGAGGTGCTACTATCTCTATAGCACATACATACCTAGTTTACACAACCAATCAATGCGTATGTATAAATTCTTTGTTTTCAATTTATACTAAAATAAATGAATGGATAAATTAAGGAGTAGCAAATAAATAGATAAATAAATTATATTAGCAATTTGTGTGAATCATTATTAGGAGTCAGATTTCTTTCTTACCAGGTAAAATAGCCATTCTTCCCTTTTCTCTTAAGACAGCGTCACGTCACTATTTAGCTGAGAATATACCTACCCAGGCAAAATATGACATTTTCTAGCCTCTTTTGTCCATGATGTCCTATGGCTAAGTTCTAGCCAAAGAGCTCTAACAAATATGGAATGGAGTTTCTAGGAAGTCTCTTTAAAAATGAAGTGTATTCACTTTTTTTGCCTCTGTCTCTATTTGTCCAGAAACATGGATAAGATGGTTGCAGTCCAAGTCGGTACTGGGACCCTGAGGAGTAACAAGGTCCACATCCTACTAATGATAAAGCAGTGGAAGACACTTGGGGCCTGTGTGGTTTCTAGAGGGATGATCTGCCTCTAGACTTTTATGGAAGAAAGAACCTTCTATCTTGTCTAGCCCATTGATATTTTGGGTTTTAATTATATGGAAGTAAGTCTAAATCTTAGGAGTGTACCCAAATCTTTAATTCTACTGCAGAATTGTGTGGTACCTGGCTTTCTAAATGTTTCACTCCATCCCTATTTTCCCAATGACCTTGATTACTTGTAAGCCTCCCTATCTTTCTGGTCTCATTTAGTCACATATTCATAGATTTCAGACACCAGTTGTACTTTCAAGCTCCTGAACTGATATGCAGTGGAGCTACTTGTCCCAGATAAATGGTCATTGTAGGGAAAGGAATCAAATAGAGTTTGTCCACTGAGTAAATAGCTTTGGCACAAATTGCTCCATTCTCTGCTCTGCATCAAGATAGTAGACAGATCAGTGTAGGTTTGGATGTTCTAGAAGAACTGTGTGAGATAGGGCATAATTTGAAGAAAGAATGCTAGGACTTCAAGATAGAACATAAGTTACTAGATGTAGAGAAGAAAGGAAGCTGTCAGGAGTTTAGACAGTGGAGGTTTCTACTTCCTGGGTGGAATCCTTGTTGGAAAGGTTGCCCGAGACATTGTCAGATTCCAGAAGCTCCACAATGCTGTAGGGAGAACAGTCCTCCAGCCCCAGTTTGCTGCAGAGCCAGCCACAGAATCCTTTCTCCATATCCCGGGCAGCTTGCCACCACGCTCCCCATGACCAAGAGAGCTGGACCACAGCAGCATAGACACCCAGGGAAGAAGCCATGGCTATGATAAGCACTGGGTAGAAAAGAATTAGGCAGGGACAGCATGAGATCTTGTGCCAGAAGGTCCTCTCCTCATTGTATACCAGGAAGATGTTGTACCAGGTAATAGTGCCATAGTAGAAAGAGACTACGAAAGAGAGGATGAAAACCACAGGCAGGCAGACCAGCGTCCAAAGAACCACATGGGGCCCACGGTCTGCTCCCAGTTGGCAGACATTTCTTGCTTCAGATGCCATTTCCCTTGATGACTCCTGAGGCTTGGTCAGTTCTTGCAGTTCCTTCTCTGTCAGTGTGACATGAATGTCCACCACCTGACCTTTCTTCTTCCCTCGGGTGATGGTCCCTGTTAATGTGACATAGCGGCTGTCTGAAGGCATGTCCCACATACCTGCAAGACAACAGAGGAAGTGAGAGTCAGGACTGGAAGGAGATATTGCATCACAGCACAATCCAGGACTGGGATGAACACCAAGGTGTCCTTTTTCACATCACCTGTCACAGGACTGAAGTCAGAGCCTTGATAGTAAGTTGAATGGATCTCCTTTGGGAGGATGACTGCTCTTATTCTTGCTCCCATAGGGAACTCCTACTACATATGCTAGGGCCTTGATCAAGTTATGAGGCAGGATAAACTTATTTTTCAGATCTTTCCACTTTTCTGGGCCTCAGACTTGGCATGATCTCTGTGACATGGTTGCGGGGAGGTGGTATGAGAAACTTTGCTGTAGACATCACTTTATAATGATGCTATTTCTAGTTAGCAAATTCTGTTCTGTCATGGTATTTAAAACTGGATGTGCGTGCATTGCGTAGATGGGAAGCCATTGCTTCCCTTCTCACTCCTAGCTCTATGCTGTTTTGAGGAGACCTCTTCATATGACTGCAGTGGTCATATTCAAGTTCTGGATACATCACCATATATACTACACACAATACACACACAGGTCACACATTGCACATATCCAAACCCCTACCACATATTTCCAAATATACTCCCCACAATACTCTCATGGAACACACCCCTAATACACATCATATACACGTGCCCAAACACCACACAACTGACCATATATCCACATCATAAAGAAACAACACACCATAAACACATACATACACATCCACAACTGTGCATCACAATACCCATCCCATTCATGTATATACTCCTACATTCTCTACACATCATATTTCCCCAACATACACAATACACACCCATAACACATATCATACACCCATAAATACATACAACTACGTACATATCACACTTAAGCACAACACATGTACTGTATTCATACCACACATCACACCCACACCCTAATACACACTTCCATACTACATGAACATGCCATATGCATCATAGTGAATGCACGCACTCACACACACAACTCTCCATATAAACCACACACACATTATCGAACAGTTATCCTTTGGCATTTTGGAAGTGAGATTGGAGACACAGAGACTTTGGTGATCCTTGGAGTATAAAATGGAGCCTAGGAGTGTGTGGCAGAACCAGGGCCTGGGGGTGAAGTCTCTGGATAGTATATCCCGTTAGGCCTGTGGACTCCTTGCCCCATGACTAGAAGACCTAGACTGGTACCACCTGAAGAACGGGGCCCAGGGTAGTGGCAGGGGTTCTGACTACCCATCCAGGAAAGTGATATTTCCCTGCAAAGATTTTAACTTTCTTGGTCTCAGCAAATGGCATAGTAGCTTATTTCCACTGTTTCTATAAAATAATCAGGGTTTATTATTGATGCCTCTATTTCTATCAGGAAAGTTTAAATTAAATTTTGAATTCACCCTCCTGCTGTCATCCTGGTTCAATTTCTACATTAGGGATTATTGTGTCTGTAGTTATACAGTAGTCTCTCATCAACTCCCCCACTCATCCTTTGCATTTTATTCTTCTTAAAGAAGCCAGATATTAGAGAATGTAAATGAGATAATGTCTCTCCCTTGCTTAATATTCTCCATTGATTCTCCCCGACACTACTCTGTGCTTATAAGCAAATTCCAATCCTTCACTATGAAGATCAAGGCTTACATGATGCATGTAGTTCATGCTTTACCTTATGATCCTCTGCTTCTGTAACCTCCCTACACACAAATGACTCCATTGCATAACTGGGCCACTGTTGCTGTCTTCCCAAGGTGTCTGCCTTGGCTGTTCTCCCTCCTTGAAAAGTTCTGTCTCAGATCTTTTCATGTCTGGCTCCTTTACATCATTCAAATCAGCACAATCATTCTCCAAGAGAGGTGTCTCATGACGTCATAGCTTCTCCACGCCCACCCTTCGCCACTTATCTTCCCGTAACTGTGGTTTTATTGTCTTCAGAACTCATCACTACTTGAAATCATCTTTTATTTGATGACTTGTCCACTGATTGTCTTCCACTGACTAGAAGATCAACTGTATGACAGCAGGGACATTACTATCCTTGTTTCCTGGGGACATATGTCACAGAGACCCATCTATGTGCACGAATGGATTTACCTTACCCATCTATTGCTGAATAATAATTAATACAAGCAAGGCACTATTAACAGCAACAAACATTCTTATGCATTTATATATGTGTAACATGGACATATGTTTTGTGAAGTAGGTATTAAGAGTTTTGGGACATAGTGCATGCTTGTTTTGAATTTTTAAAAAATATTGACAAATTTCACTATGAAAACAGCTCCACTACCACCTAAGATGTAAGTGAGCATACCCATTTCCTTATCTCAATGCTACATTTTTACTCAATTTTTGGAAGTGGAACATGTGAAGGGAAACTATGTCTTATTGCCATAATTTGCATTTTCCTGATCATTATGAATACCAATATTTATCATTTATCTTATATCAATTAATCTGCTTGTGTTATTCATTGCTGGATATAGCTCGGCCTCTTCTATTCCACTTTGAGTTCTGAGAGAGTGGAGATCACCTAAAATGGATTGTAATAGGTGCTTGGTAAATATTACCATTTGTTGAATAAAGACTACAAGAGTGTGAAGAGAAATGATTCACCAAGAGGAAACACATCAGTGAGTCTATCTTTTGGGAGATTCCTTTCAGAGCACCTCCTGAGGCTTCGAATCTGGAGACACTCACTATCATCCATTGGGTAGTCTAGGAAATCTTCTCCCTCTTCCTCTTTAGGTTGGTCTCCTCCCTCTGACTCCACAGGCTCCTCATCCGTCTTCTCATTATCTGACCGGTAGATGATGATTGATTCTGGGCGAGGCTCTTTCTTCTTCTTTTTCCTGCGACCCATTGTTGACTCCCCATCCAGAGCCAGGGCAGCAGCCACAGCCCTTCTCAGGGAGCCATGGTGTGGGCTTGGCAGCTGGCTCTGGCCTTCTATGGGAACTGGCTCTTCCATCCCAGTTTTGATGTCTGGTTATCACTTATAAAGAGTCTGCCTTGCTTGAGTGCAAGCTCAGGATCTACTCTTCACAGTTCTTCCTGGATGTGCATCCAAATTTGCCCCAAGAATGGGATCCACCTAAAAAATAGAAGAATGGAAAGAATGGAAAACCATCAATAGGAAGCAAATAGGACAAGAGGGAAAAAGATCTGGGAAATGAGCCTTAACTTGGCAGAAGCCTTCCCCACCCTTTACTTAATATCTTATGTGAGAGCTTGGTAGAAATGCTCTTATAAGAATAAAATTATGAATAATATTCATTTATATTATGACAGCATTTTTGTCATTCACAGAAGCATATACTATTAGTCAAAACCCCGTAATCTGGTTGGAGAAAGCAGAGAAAGTTAGATGGAAGAGTGTTTGCTCAGAGGGCCTTACTGGCAAATGGGAGTTGAGAACCATTCTTACTCCCATCACAGCTAGGGTAAGTCTCCAGACCGTTTGGCCTTCAAGTCACACATTGCAAAGTTGAATACAACCTTGAGTAAGTCCTTCAAAGATGCTTTAATTTCACCAACCATGTCTACCTTACCAGTCTGTAAAGGATACCCATGGAGGGGGGCAGCAAGACCTCAGGAAATTTCTTGAATCTGTCCTATCATGTAATGGGGTAGGGGAAGCGGAGAATTCATGTTCAAATTTTTAAAAATTATTATTATCATTTTATGATACAGTTCCATAGGCCCTGGGATTTACCCTACTCCTTTTCCTAATCCGCTCCAAAGTTCTCCCAAATCATTACAACAACATGGTTCCTCATAAACAGTCATAAGTCCATCATTGCAGGCATGGACAATGGCAGAGTCCAGCATCCAACTGTCAAGGCACATCCAACAGTTCACTGTGCTACCCTCAAAAGTGGAACATCTGAGACTGGAACCGACATCCCATATGGAATGCTGACACTGCAGGGAGTGGCTTTACTCAGTATGCTGAAGTGCTGACCCCTTGGCACATTGTTTGTACTTGAAAAATAAACTTGGGCTAACACTACTTTTCTAGAAGAATCCTTACAGAACCGTAACTGGAGATCGCCTTTTAAACAAAATCACCCAAATGATCTTTAGAAGAGTGAAGAATGTTGATGCCTAAATTTGGTTACTTTCCCAGGTTTTGTGGTCCATCTCTGAGTTTGAGTACTCAGAAGGAAGCTCTTATCCACAGGTACTGATGCGGTTAAGATCCTGGGTGTGGCCTCTCTCCTTCTCCCTCTTCTTCTCCAAGACACAAAAAAGAAGAAAAAGAAAATTGGAAAACAATGGTCTCATTCATTTTCCCCATTCCGCAACCCTTTCCATCCTAATCAGTGGTCCACATGGGCATGCATCCTTTTCAACATTAAAAACATGAAAAACAAAATTAAGAAAAGAAAGAAAGAAGAGAGGTCTTCTCTTGGTGATGCTGTTGAAGATGTGTAAGTTAGCAAAAACCTACTTTGTCTTATTTATGTAAGGGTTGCTTGGATGCTTGAATGTCCTCCCCTCAAAAAAATGCCCCAAAAAACTTTTCTGTTTTGAAAAAAAACTTACGTAAAAGCACAGAAAACAATATTAATGGACCATCCCCATAGCTATTACTAGCTTCAACAATAATCTAAATATTAAGGCCAAAGTTGTTTTATCTATTTTCATTATATAAGACAAAAACCACAGACATCATTTCACTTCTAATGATTTCAGTATGCATAGCTTACATATCAGGACTTTAAAAAATATGGTTGGGCCCGGCGCGATGGCGCAGTGGTTAAGGTCCTCGCCTTGCACGCCCAGGATCCCATATGGGCACCGGTTCTTATCCTGGCAGCCCTACTTCCCATCCAGCTCCCTGCCTGTGGCCCGGGAAAGCAGTCGAGGACGGCCCAAAGCTTTGGGACCCTGCACCCATGTGGGAGACCTGGAAGAGGCTCCTAGCTTCTGATCGACATAGCATCGGCCGTTGCGCTCACTTTGGGAGTGAATCATCGGACAGAAGATCTTCCTCTCTCTGTCTCTCCTCTCTGTATATCTGCCTTTCCAATAAAAATAAAATAAATCTTTAAAAAAAGATATGGTCACTGGGGCTGGCATGTTGGCACTGCAGATTAAGCTGCTGCTAACAAATATCAACATCCTACAGAGGAATGCTGGCTTGAGTCCAGGCTCTTTGACTTCTGAACCATTCCCTGCTAACCCATAAAAAAGTGGCAGAATATGGCCCAAATACCTGGGCTCCCGCCACCCTCACAGGAGACCCTGCAGCTTCTGGTTTTGACTTGACTCAGTTCTAGCCACCACAGTCATTTGGAGAGTAAACTAGCAGATACAAGATCTCTCTCATCTGTTTCTATTTGTGTGTGTGTGTGTGTGTGTGTGTCAGGGGTGGGGAGTCCATATACTCTCCTTCAAATAAATATATTAAAATATAAGGAAAGAAAAAAATACAATATTATTACGACAGACCTAACTTTTTTACAACACTTTTATCAAATGTTTTTATAGCTTGGATGTTAGCATACGTGTTCCCCAAAAATCCATGTTGCAGGTTTAGTTGCTTACTGAAGACTACTGGGCACTACTGGGCACTCAAGACACTACTGGGAAGTAGTGGACTCTTCAGGAGGAGGGGCCTATAGGGCAGGCCTAATAGGGACCTATTGGGAGCATGGCTCATAAGGTAACTTTTACAAGGAGACTGTTACAAATGCATGGTACTGGATCTAATCCCTGCGCTTACGGCTCACTTGTGAGTCTTCCTCCACTCATTTTCTGCCATCTTTCATGGGTCTCCCCATGCTATTTGGACTTTGAGTCTCCAGAAAGCTAAGCCAAATGAAATTTTCTTCAGCTTTATTTTTATTTAAAGATTTATTTACTTATTTACTTGAAAGCTAGAATGACAAAGAGAAAGCAAGAGACAGAGGATTAGAGCTTCAATTCACAGATTCACTCTAAAAAGCTGCAACGACCATATTTGGACCAACACACAGTCAGGAGCCAGAAATCCCCTCTTGGTTTCTCACTTGGATGGTAGGGAGCCCCAAATGCTTGGGCCATCATCCACTGTCTTTCCAGGTACACTAGCAGGGAGCTGGAACTAAAACTGGTACTCTGATGTGGGATGCCACTGTCACATGAGGCAGCTTAACCTTCCCAGCTCCTAACACTTTTTTACAAGTAAGTTGTCTTGAGTATTCTGTTTTAATAACAAAAAAGAGAAAATGACTAACACATAAAACTGACACTGAAGGTGGGGTAGTTATTCATCCTGCAGGACATGGAGGAGCCTTTGAAATTGGTTGATGAAAAGAGGTTGGAAGTTTAGACTGGCAGGCCAGAGAATACCTTGAAATACTTTGTGTAGTTACAGACAGCTCTGGTCAGGGTTCAGAAGCCCAGAATGCTGATAGAAACGTGAAGGTCATGCTGATGAGGTACCAAATGCAAGTAAGGATTCTAATGAGAATTGAACTAAAGGTTACCACTGCCAGAGCATGGCAGAGAAACTGTATTACATCCATGTCCTGATATTTTGTGGGATCCAAACTTAAAGGTTATTGTTGCAGAAAATGCATCAAGGAAGTAAATCCTTCAGGCTATATAATGCGTGTTATTGATGGCTGTTCATCATTTCTACAGCAAGCATCAGGAGCAAAAGCTAGCCAAGTAGTAAGGTTGGGAAAATCCTCAACATGACCAGAGAAGGAGCAAAGAAAATGCTTATTGGGGACATGAGAGGCCGAGAAGGACCCTCTTGATAAAGAGATTAGCAAAGGTGAAAGGATTATATGTGCCAATCAGCAACACAGTGGGTCAGAGTCCTTGGAAGCGGCTCAGGAATTTCTAAAACGTAGAGACAATGTAAGTCCAGAGGTCTGAATGTGCAAAATTATTCCATGGGATCCCTCTCTCTTTATTCCTCTGAATTCACCATATGATCCTCACTTTGTTCATAATAGAATGCATTTGACAAAGTCTGTATTATACAACTTGAACTCTGAACTTGCAGGAGTATGAGCTACAGAAATATTTTTTCCTTGTGTGTTAGTTGTTTCAGAGGCATAGCTTCTGTGGAGGAACAGGCATTTGGGAAGGCAAGAAAAAGAGGAAGAGAAGCTAGGTCCACCTTGACTTTCATAACCAATCCTCTTGCAAGAATTGCATTCTGAAGGCATGTCCCAAACAACCTTCTAAACACCCTCATTGGATTAAGTTTCCACCCTCATGGTACCAATCATTGATAAACAGAGCATGCAATCATTCCATCCCCAATAGTTCCAAAGTCTTAACTCAGTCTAACATTAATTGAAAAGTACAAAGTCTTATCTTACACTCAAGGCAATCTCCTCCAGTTTTGTGTCCCAGTGCAATTAACAACAACAAAAAAAACAACCTTACATACTTCCAAGTCACAATAGTACTAGTACAGGGTATGGATTTCTAGCTCATAAAGGACAATAAACAGACAAAAAGAATCAGAGGAAAACAAGATCTAAAACCAGCAGAGCAAATACTAAATCCTAATGCTGCATGCCTGCCACCCAGGGCACACTGGAGAGGACAGGCCCCCAAGAGTTTGGGCAGTTCTGTGTCTGTGGCTTTCTGGTTACAGCCCCTGGTTAGGTCTCATTGGTTGCAGTCTCAGCTCAGCTCCTCCACTAGGCATTGCCCTGCAAGGGACTCCCTGCAGTATTCCAAACCACATCAGCACTTGGTGCTGTCCTAGTGAGGGCTCTCTGTAGTGTCTCTGTCCCTACAACAGGTTCCCTTTGATATCTAGCAGAGTGTGCAATGCCTTTGAAGCTGGGTTGGTCTCTGATCATGTGGTTGCTTTCTGAGGCTTTTCAATAATTACCTGGCAAGTGGCTTGCAACATTCCACAATGAGGTTCTCATGTTCCTGGCACCTCTATTTTCTTGGATTTCCATTGTGGACTCTCTCCTATGTCTTCACTAGGTATCATTCCATCAGTGGCTC